CGCGGATTTCTTGCATCCGCGCTGGGCCCCCCAGGCGGCGCCTCCGGCGCCGCGTCTTTTCTCCTTTGGGCACCCCGCCGCCACGATGGCACAAAAGCCAGGTGGGGCCTCTGGACGGCCAGCGCTTGGGCAGGGCAGGCAGTCGACGGGCACCGGGTGCAAGAGAGCGGTGGGGCTCGAGGGGGGCCAGTCTCCTTGCTGGCCCGTGGGGCCATGCCATCTCAGCCCCACCATCACACCGTCCCAGCTCGGGAGCTACCCTTCGGAACCCGAGGGGAACAGCCCATGCCCCCCATCCAGGGGGGGGCAACATCGGCCAGCGGGGCCCAGGTCGCGCCGTGGGGACAGGGAAGGGTTCAACGATGCGCTGATGGTCGGTAAGATCGATTTTGGTGCAGAACAACGGATACGAAGACCGCCTGGCGGCCTTGCCCATTTTGACCCGGGTTCGCTGACGGCGTCGCCGCGGCCGTTGTCCATTGGAGACAAGATAGTGCCTGTCCAACAGCGGCTCATGTCGGTTTTGGACAACGTTCCAACCCCACCCCTAGCCATGGCACCCTTTCCCGACCTGGTGATCCAGGGGCTCCTGGCCGGGGGTCAGGTTGGTTGCAGAGAAGAAAAACACCCCCACCACCAGCCATGTCCCCGGGGATTTATGGAGGACGATCAATGGACAGGAAGCATGTTGCCACATACGTCCCAGATGTCTAAAACATGTCTCAAACATAGTTTAAACATGTTTAGAACATGTTTCCTACATTTTAAACACATTTACAATTCAATGGTCGGACTGTTAGGGTGTCCACTGTCGTGGCATCCACAACCCTGGATCACCACGTCGGGAGTGGGGGTCCAGACTGGGGGTGGGGTGGACCGTGCTGTGCTCAAGGATGAGCTCCCCAGGCCGGCGTGTCACTGATGCTGCCGTCATCCTTCCCGGGGCAGCGCTCCCTGCCTCAAGCAGAGAAGACCACCCCCGACCCCATAATTTGTGGTTATTACACGTCCCTGGGTGTTTACCATTGTTTTATCTTCATTCGCACATTGATTAATTGTCCTCTATCCGTCCTCCGTGTGTGTGTGTGTGTGCGTGTGTTTCTCTCTCTCTCTCTCTCTCTCGTTCGCCTGTGCTTTGCGTCACGCCATCCATTTTCACCCATAGCGGCGCCCCGGCGCCCCCCTGCTATGCCCCCGCGGCACCTCGACTGCAGGCCGATTGTCCGAATGTCCTTGGGCGTTTACCAAACAGCCCTGCCCTGTTCGATTCCGTCATTGTGTTCGTTTGCTAAACGGCTTCGCTTGTCGGGGTGCTTCTCCAATGGCCTTCAGCCCATCCTGCCACCGCGCTTGGGCTATGAGTCAGAGTTCTCAGGGACGCTTCTTCGGGTCTCCTCGGAGCGCTTTTCTGTGCCTCTTGGGAGCAGTTTGGGGGCTCTCAAAATATCCACTCGGGTTCCCTAAGTGGGCCGTCTTTGGACCCTCTTGAGGGGTCGTGGGCGCCTCTTGGGCCGTCTTGGGGCCGTCTTGGGCCGTCTATTGGGCCCTCTTGTGGAGTCTCGGGCGCCTCTTGGGCCGTCTTGGGCAGTCTTGGGGCCGTCTTGGGGGCCTTTGGGGGAGATCTTGGGGGCCCCGTGAGCCGTCTTGGGGCGTCGGGAAGCCGAACAGGCGAGAACGCTCAAATTCTTCCAACAAACGGACCGTCACGGATTTTGGCCCTTTGGGGTCCTCTTGGGAGGCCTCTTGGAGGCCTTTTGGGGCGTCTTCGAGGCTTCTTGAACCGTCTGGGGTTCCTCGAGGCTCCGAAGAAGCCACGCGACAAGACGCGGCAAGCCCCAGGGGTCACGCGGGAAGCCCCCACATGTTCTGCAACGTGGGGAGGCTGCGGGCCCCTCGAAGGCTTCTCAGGATCGCCCAGGGGATTGGGCATCGTTTGGCATCGCTCAGACGTGTGATTTTTTTGTTGTCGGCGAGGTCTCTCGAGGAGCACCCTGGATCCTCTTGCGAAAAAAGATCCCCCCCTTCCCCCCCTTCTGCCCCTCCTTCCCCCGCCTCCCCCCCTTCCGTTGCATGTTTCCGAATTCCCAATTCCAAAGTCTGCTCACGCTTCACATGTTGCCCTGCTGGTAGTCGACCTGTACACCCATGCCCTGCACAGGGCCGAGCAGCCGACAGGCATGCTCGCGTGGTTCGCTCGCGGGGTTCGCTCGCGCTCGCTCGCACAAGCACGCACGGGGGGATGCACGCCCGCGCGGCGGCAGACGTCCCCCCTGCGGCGCGTCGCCGGCCGACCGGGGGCCGCCCGCCGCGGCGCTCCCCGGGGGGTCCGCGGCGGGGGGCGGGGCGGACGGGGCTCCCACGCGCGGGGCCCGGGCACGCGCCGAGCACGGCCTGCGTGCGGACGTGTCGGGGCATCTCTCGGGGGCGGCCTTGAGAGGGGGGTGGTGACTATGGGGGGGGTGGATCTCACGGCGTGGGCCATGACGTTTCGCCAGATCTCATATGGCGCCCCTTCTTGTTTCATTACGTCTCCGGCCCCCCCCTGGGCCGCGCACATGCCGCCGGCCATGATTTGCACCCCCCCCCCTTTTGGACGCCCCCCTCTTGGCCGCCCCCGAATGTCGGCGCAGGAGGGGAAAACTCCAAGGCGGGAGTTTACACATGACACCGCCTGGAGGATCAATTTTCGGGGACCTCGCAGGCGGTGGATATGGATAATACTCGAGCCCCTGGGGGCCGAACTATATCCACATCCACCGCCCGCAGGGGCACCAGGACGTCGGTGCCCAGGCGGTGGATATGGATACATCCCCGCCTCGCAAGAACAGGCACGGAGACAAACCGTCGTGAATTCGAATCGAATGGAGACACGGGAAAGTATGAGGAGTGGAGGGGGAAGACGAGCATCCCGAAGGCATGGGAGGATACGGGGAATATTTGGACTTGTGCGTGTTTGCTTTGCGTGTCACTTGGACCCTTCATGTACGTACGCTGTACTTACGCTCCAGATCGTTCGAGAGCGCTCTGCGTACGCTCTGAGAGGGTTCTGGAGCGTTCTGGAATGGCCGCGGCGCCCGATACTTCCTCCATCATGTACCAACGGCGGACATATCTGTATCTGCGCCCTCGCCGTGTGGCTTCCTTGCCACGACCCCGCGGATACGCGGTCGCGCGGATCCGTTCCGCGTTGGGGCATCCGCGACACAGCGCCCCGTGTCCGCGGGTCCGTGACCCAGGGGCCCGGCCCGCGAGGGCGCGGACACGGATACGTCATTCTCCCATGAACCGCCATGTCGCAGGGATCCTCGATCTATCCGCGTCGGCCGCCAGGAGGCGCCGCGACGACGACGGGGCGGACGACGACGACGACGACGACGACGACGACGACGACGACGACGACGACGACGACGACGACGACGACGACGACGACGACGACGCGCGGTCCCGTGAGAGGGCCCCGTTGCGACCGCCTGGAGGCGCTGCGCCACGGCGGCTCGGGCGCGGAGAGCGACGCCCCGTCGTCGGACGAGGAGTACCTGACGTGGGCGGCGCATCGCGCCCGGGCGCGAGCGTCAGAAGAACAGGGCAAGACAAGAAAAGACGGTGTGCGCGGCACGGCCCCGCTGTCTTGATGCTCAGGGGAGGTGTTGGAGGAGGAGGAGGAGGAGGAGGAGGAGGAGGAGGAGGCGCAGGAGGAGGACGAGGAGGAGGAGGAGGAGGAGGAGGTGGGGGAAGAGGTGGACGAGGTGGAGGACGAGGCGGAGGTGGAGGAGGTGGACGAGGTGGATGAGGTGGAGGTGGAGGAGGTCCATAGCTATTTTGGCTCAAGCCGCTTTGGCGGTGGAGGAGGAGGAGGAGGAAGAGGAGGCGATGGCAGCTCCTCACGAGGAGGATGAGGCGAGGGCAGTCCCAGGAGGAGGAGGAGGACGAGGATGAGGGAGAGGATGGAGGAGGAGGTTCGTCTTATGTCCCAGGGCCCCTGCCGGGATCCATTTCGATCCGATCGATCCGATTCAATATCGGCTTCGGCTAGCCTGCTCCGATCCGATTCCCCGATGATCTGGTGCGGCCCGATGCTTGCAGGGGGGGATGGGCTCAGAATGGGACGAATCGACTCACAATCGCCCAGGCATGGCCAAGTGAGGCCCGATAGCCCACCCCGCCCAGGGCCATGCGGATTCGCTGTCGGGGGCTTGTCGGCGGTCTGGCGGTGATGTATCGACGGTGCCAGGTCGATGTTCTCCCCCCTGAGTTGGCTCCCCCCCGATCGACGCCCCTCATGTGAGGCCAAAGGGGGCGGGGAGGGCCTGGCTGTCCATTTGAAACAACGCTCCGCTTGCCCAACAGTGGCTGCTGCCAGATTTAGACAGCTTTTGCAGTTGGGCCTTGTGCCCCTTTTGTCCATATCCTTTCGGGCGTGCCAATCGATTTTCCATCCCTCCCCTGACGCCCTCGCGTCGTGGAATAGAGAGACCGCGACAGAGGGGGGTGGGCGGCGTTTTCGGCCTCTGGGGGGTCTCGCCGGGCCCGTCGGAGGAAGGATTGAGATGAGATGCCCGGCCACGGGAAGAGGTCCAGGCTGCTGGGGGCAAAGCCCTCGATGTCGGATGCCCACCTGCTGGGGCGCCGCCCCAGAGGCGTCGCCCGCCCTGCCGGACTGGTTGCTCACGGATCCTGCTCTCCCCCTCGTGTTCCTCCTCCCCCTCCTCCTCCCCCTCGTTTTCCTCCTCCTCCTCCTCCTCCCCCTCGTTTTCCTCCTCCTCCTCCTCCTCCCCCTCGTTTTCGTCCTCCTCCTCCTCCTCCTCCTCCTCGTCTTCCTCGCGAGGGCCATTGGATGGCATGGCGCCAGGCGCAGACGGATACCGCTCTGGCAAGGGCTCCCTGGCGCCAGCGCGCGGTGGAGTCGGACACCGCGGTGATCGTCCAGGCGGCTGTCGTCAGCGGTGGAGGCGGCAGGGCGTGTGCTGCTGGGTGCTCGAGTGCCGCGGTCGCCAGCCCGCATGCCGTCCCAGCGGGCGGCGCGCCTGGTGATCTGCGAGATGCCAGCAAAGGCGCGGCCCACGGCGAGGCCGTCCCCCACGCCCGTAGCATCGCAGCTGCTGGCGATCCTGGACCGATCCGTGGCGCCGCCATCGCCGCCGCCGGGGGATTTCGGGCCCTGCCAGCTGTTGAGGAAGGAGGAGGCCCAGAGCTCTGGTGGAGCGGACGGCGTCGCCGGCATGTCCCAGGCGAGGGTGGGCTTCGAGCGGGCGTTGCGGGCCCGGAAGGACTGCGTGAACGCGCGCTCGAAGAAGGCGGTGAAGGAGAAGACGGAAAATGAGGAAACTAAGCGCAATACGCACAAGAAGGACACAGTGCTGGACTGAAACGGGTCGTCTAGTTCGGGCTCGTGGACACCGAGAGCACCGTGTCCAAGGGGGAACACCACGACGAGGCGCGCATGGACTGGTACCTGGAGGTGAAGTCCGCGGCGCTGCGCGTCGTCGATGCGGGCTCGTGCGCCGGGGGGCTGCAGGTCCAGGCCAGCGAGTTCGGGACGTCGGGGATCGTCGACAGGGGCTCGCGTTGCGACGGCATGCTGTTCGGGATCGTCGAGTCGGAGGCTGGCGGCATGATCCTGCAGTTCGATGGGGGCCCGGGAGGCCGAGCCGCCGTCGATCGAAGGTCGGAGGCCTGCCGAAGGCCGTGGCCGAGGCCAACCAGCTGTCGTTCCAGAGGGGTTCAGGCGCGCAGGAGAGCCGCCTCGCCCAGTGGAGGCTCGAGCATGACGTGCCCGAGGTGATCGGCAAGAAAATGAGCAAGCAGTGCGAGTTCGCGCCGTCGGAGGTCGCCCATGTGGGCTCGTGCTACATGGGTGAATTGGACACGGAAGACGAGTTCGGAAAGTCGGAGGTCGTCGATGCGGGCTCGGTCTTCGATATGGGAAGTTGGACAGGGTCAACGAGTTCGGGGCGTCGGAGGCCGATAGGGAGGGATGGCGCGAAGGCGAACAGATGGTCCAGGCGAGCGAGTTCGCGGCGCTGGTGGTCGTCGATGCGGGCTCGTGCTTCGCGGAGCAGAAAGTGAATAACAATACTAATTGTCTGGACGCTTCGCGCATGCACGCTAACCCATCCAGAAACGATCAGCATGGGAGTTGGCAAGCCAGGGGCAGCTGGAAGCATGCAGTTGCGCGGCTGCCTTCAGAAAAGAACACAAGGATCACACATGACTTCCCGCATTGCAGTTTAAGGTGGAAGTCGGTGCAAGATACGACGTGGCGCTCCCCGCAATCAGCGTCTTTAGCATAGGCGGCTGTATCCACCCTGGGCCATGAGAAACAAGGATCAGACATTGCTTCGCGCAGCGAAGTTTAAGATGGAAACCCGTGCGAGATACGCTGGGGTGTTCCCTATAGTAAGCGTCTCTGGCACAGCGGACCCCGTCGTAGAATTGGATTCTCGATTCTTGGACCCTCTTGGGCTTTCTTGGGGTCCTCTGGGGCTCTCTTGAGGCTGTCTCTGGGCTCTTTTGGGCACTTTTGGGGTCTTCTTGGAGCTTTTCTGGGGGTCTGGGACGGGCCGCCTTAGACCCCTGCGCTCGCAAAGAGGGGGGTCGCAAATTTAGGCCCCCCTTTCGGAGGCCCAAAGGGGGCGTCTTGGGGCCTTTTTGGGCCGCTCTTGGAGCGCTCCTGGGCGCTCTTGGGGCCGTTCCGGGGCCCTCTTGGGCTTATTTTGGGGCTAGGTTGGGCCATCTTGGGGCCATCTTGACGCCTCAAGAGCCCATTGGAAGCGACAGAGCGGAAAAAAGGCAAGCACATGGTGATTTTCCTCATGTTTGTAGCCCATTCTGACGTCTCGGGGAGTCCTTTGATGGCTTGTCCGGCAGTTGAAACCGTCTTGGGGCCGTCTTGAGGCCTCTTGGATGCGTGTTGGAGGCTATTTTGAGCCGTCTTGAGGTATGTTGGGCGATCTTGCAGACGATCTTGGGCTAGCTAAAGCCCTCTTGAAGCTATCTTGGGCCATCTTGGACGCTCTAACCCCGTCGTGGGGGAGACCGTCCAGACCCAGGGATGGGTAAACCTCCCGAGCATAGAAAGAAGGAGGTTAGGAAAGGAAACGCTCAAGGCCAGCTGCGCCCAGAGGCATGGCGGGAATCCGTGCGTGTTCGTCACGTCGGGGGTCACCGCCGGGGGCTTCCAATCTGAGGGGTTCGAGGAGGACGTGGGCCACGTGATGCACTTGCTGCTGCAGGGCTCGTCGGGCAGGGATCGACGTCCGAGTCGGAGTCCCTGTTCGGCTCCTCCGAAATCCAGGCCGCCGTGCGCAAGACGTTCGCTGGAGCGCTCGACTCCCACAGGGTGCTCGTGGTCGAGACGCTGGCAGGCGTCATGGGGCTCCCAGGTGGGTGAAACTGGGGCTGGGAGTTCCGAGGAGAGTGGCAGGGAACCGTCGAGGACTGAGTTTTGAAGGGGGCGGGCGGCTGGGTGTGTGGAGCCCCCGCGTTGCTTGTCCTGGTTTTCGCCCTCCCTGCCTCGTGGGGAAGGCCATTGCCAGGGGCGCTTGGCACTGGCCAGGTGCCTGCTGGCTGATGTTTTGTTTCCCCCGTTCGCGGGATGCGAGGGAGCTCCTCGGCTCCATTTTCTCATTTGCGTCATTTGCCTCCTGCTCCTCCTCCACCTCCTCCTCCTCTTCCTCCCTCTCCTCCTTCCGTGTCCCCCCCTGTTTTCCTTAGCCCTCTTCCGCAACATCCCCATCTCCTCCTCGTCCTCCTCGTCGTCCTCCTGCTCCTCCGCTCACGACGGAAAGGGATCTGTGTCCTCGGATCACCCGCGGGGGCGCGAAGTTGCTCGCGTTTCGCGCGCCGCGGCTTAGGCCAGAGCGATCGCCCTCCCCCACGGCGGCGGCGCGGGGGGCGCGAGGGCGCGGGGCCGCGAAGGCGACGTGGCTTCGTGAATCGCGGGGCGTGGTCCTCGACGTCACGGGCGACTTCCATGCTCGATCCTCCGTCCTCGAGCCTCGAGAACCTCGAGCCTCGCACCTCGAGGCTCGAGCCTCGAGGGCCCCGAGGGCCTCGAGGGCCTCGAGGGCCTCGAGGGCCCGTCCGCCGCTCCGCCTGCGCTCGCGGCGCACCGCGCGTGCCCGAGGCCGGCCAACCGAGCGCCCGGTAGCGAAGCCCCCCGGGGGGGCGCGGGCCGGCGGGGGGGGCGCGCGCACCTCTCTAGGCCTCCCAGATGGGGCCGGAGTAGATGGGGTCGAAGGAGCGCGCCGCATCGCCAAAGCATCGCCGATGCGGCTCGATGTGGAGCCCGATTTGCTTCACGTCGACGTCGCCGATTCATCGCTGACGTCGACGATGCATCGCTGGTGCATCGCCGATGCATCGCCGATGCATCGCCGATGCATCGTCGATGTATCGTCGATGCGGCGCCATCCTCCGACCCCATCTACTCGGACCCCATCTAGGAGGCCTCTAACCTCTCGGTGGGGGGCGTCGGCCGCCCACGAGGCAGAAAGAAAAGGGGTTCCTAGAGGGCGGCAGGCCCCGCACTCCCGGGAACAATTTTTTTCCCATACCCCCTCTATTTCCCCGGCCTCCCCCTTTTGTGGGCCTCTTGGGAGGCCTTCGTCGCCACCATTCGCCTCGGAAGCCTGGTCAGAGTGCACCCCAAGAGAGGTCCGGAGAGGGTCCAGACTCGGAGGAGAAAAGGAGATATGGAAGCTGGCAAAAGTGACTGCGGCCAGCCCTCCCAGTCCTTCCAGCCCTGGCCAGTTTCCCTTTTATTTCTAGCCCTGGCGACCGCATCCCTACTGCTTCAGGCTCGTTTCACCCAGCGCCAGTTTTTCCAGCCCTGGCTCACTGATGGTTCAACTTCCTCTTTTCCCAGATTCCTGCAACCGATACCGCTACCCCTCCCTCGATTTCCATCCTTGTGTGCCTCCTGGAAGGCCGCCCTTTGTCGCCACCGCTGGATTCGCCGCGAAATCCTGGTTTCCCCACGGACCCCGGGAGCGGGTTCTCTGCCAGCTCGGAACCCAGCCATCAAGGGCAACGATGGTCGAGCAGTGATGAGGCGTCTCGGCTTGCCCATCAGGCCCACCAAGAAATGTCCGAGGAACCTTTATATGGTGGCTTGCACGAAGTGTTTTTAGAGCCTTTCTGGCGAAGACAGTTTTCGTTTAACACATCCGCTTTATATTCTAAGACAGGCGGTTTTGTTCTTAACGCATAAAAAACATTTCGTGGTAGGCTCATAGGAATGCCGGGACGGTCGGCCTTTGCTCAAATCGACCCCTCATCTCCATTTGATCGCCGATAGGGAGTTCCTGGTAGCCCCAACCCTCTTGGGAAGGTTCGGTTTTGCTATCAGGGGCCTATCGCCAATGTATCGGCAGTGTAGTTTGCCAGTTCCCACCTCTCGTTGCACCTCAGGCCATATCTACTCGCGGGTCGTTGGGAGTAGGTGTTCCTTGACTCCCAGATCCCAATCTATTTCGAGCGCCCTCCTGCTTCCAGAGTTCTCATGTCCTCTTCTGTCTGATGTTCAAGAGGCGCACGCCATTCCGCCGACCCCCCGAAGAGGCGCGGAGGCCACGTTTGAGGTGCTTGAGTCTCTCGTGGGCGTCTTGGGAGCTGTTTGGGGGCCTGTCGGCGCCTCTTGGAGGCAGTTTTGAAGCGTCTTGGGGCCCGCTTTGGGGCCGGTCCTCTTTTGGGCCTCTTGGGTGCCTCTTGGGGCTTGCCACTTGGGGCGATCTTCGGCCGTCTTGGGCCGCTCTCTGGGCCGTCTTGGCATCCTTTTGGGTCAGGGGCCGTCGTAGGGGCCTCTTAGGTGGCAGTTCTGGGGCAGTCTGCAAGGCCTCTTGGGTCCTGGAGCGTCGGAAGCTCGAAGAACCTATGGAAAGCCATGGTCGTTTGCGTCTCGGGGCCCTCTTGGGAAGGCTTCTGGGGCGTCTCGAAGGGGTCTCGTGGCGTCAGGGAGCCATCGTACGCGTCTTGGGCGAGTCGTTTCGTGATTCGGGACCGTCTTGGAGCGTCTTTGAGGCTACGGATGCCAGATCTGGAAGCTCTGGAGTCTGCCGGGGTGCGCCGACGAGCCCGGATCCCCCCTCCCCTCAACGAGATTTTGGACCCTGGGGGAAGGGGAAAGAGGGAATCCCAGTCTACTTTCTCTGCATCCTCACTTCATGTTTCCACCTATTTCTTCCGGCTGTCGGGCACCCCTACCCCTAGGACTGGCGTCGCTTCATCTCGCAGGCGATTTTTCGTTCCCCTTTGACGAGCTCCGCCCGAAAAGTCTGGCCGCTCAGAGGTTGGGTGAAATTCTGGGTAACCCCCTCTATCGCTTCACGCGTGGCCCCCCGGACTTCTCTCGACCCCATCCGCCCTGTGGGGCCGGCCTGCCACAGTTATTTCTTTGACGGCCCCGGTGGCCCGGCCTTGGGCTTCAAATAGTGGTGAAGCGTCCTGGCTTCCCTATAGCCCTACCAAACAATGTTGTGGTTTCCACGACATGTTCTTAGAACATTTCTGGTTGATATGGTTTTGTTTTAACGCATCGGGTTTATGTTCTAAGAACATTGTTTTTGTTATTATAGTATTTTGGGGTTCTGAGAACATGTCGTGGTGGGACTGTAGGAATGCCGGGACGGTCGGTCCCTGCTCAAGGGCTTCCAGCCTCCGAGAGCGGCGGCAGCTGGCCGCCTCGATCCTCGCCGAGGCTGATGGGCCGATCTCCCACCCACCACTACCAGAGGTAGCACGGGGCAGGAAGGAGGACGGGGAGGTCCTCCTCCTCCTCCTCCT